TTGGGTTGCTTCTTGACTACTTGTCGCATGCGTGGCTAGCAGTTAGTCTAGAAATGCCAAAAGGGGAGCTAATGACAGCATTCGGGGTCGTACTGTTCTATGCGTGTTGCCCAGTGCTTGCCGAGCCTGATCTTGAAGGCGTTAATAGAGGGGGCAGTGACGACGCTGTCCGGCAGGCTGTTCCATATTGACACGACTCTGTAGGAGAAGTAGCCAGCTCTGACGTTCAGTCTGCAGCGGCCCTTGGCGAGTTTCAGGCTGTTCCCGCGGGTATCTCTGCCGTCGTGAAGGTGCAGCTGGGGGCGGTCAGCTTCGTAGGCGCCGTGGACATACTTGAAAGCATCGATCATGTCCCCCTCAGTCTTCTGTGCTCCAAGCTGGGTAGACCGAGCGAGGTGAGGCGTTCTGGGTACGGCTTGTCCTTGAGGCTTGCGATAGGCTTGGTTGCCCTCCTCTGAACGTCCTCCAGGTTGGAACACAGAGTCTTGTGCCTTGGCTGCCAGACTGAGTGGCCGTACTCGAGCATCGGTCGAACGAGGGATTTGTAGAGCTGGATGAAGATCTCCGGCGTGATGCAGTCAAAGGTTTGCCTTATAACACCCAGCACTCTATTTGCCTTAGCTGTTGCTTGCGCTACTTGGCCTTTAAAGCTCAGGTCCCTGTCGATCACTACTCCTAGATCTCTTTCGGTGTCACTTTCCTTCAGTGGGGTCACGTACTCTTCGCCTTGAGCATTGCAGCCTCTCATGGTGTACTGGACGGTGTTGCTGGCGTATCCAAGGCGAAGCAGGTTGCACTTTTCGGGGTGGACGCGCAGCTGCCAGTCCATAGACCACTTGTGGAGTCTGTCCAGGTCCTCCTGCAGGGTTTTTCTTGCCTCTGGGATGTCACTGCGGGCGAAGACTTTTGTATCTTTTGTAATCTAAAGCGAATGAGAGACATTGTTGTGAGATGTGTGTATTATAAAGGAAAAAAGTGTAAAATGAATGAAGAAAAAGAAGAAGGGGGGTGAGGTGGTGAATAACTGGTTATGTCTCGTTGAAATGGCTATAAATTCCGGGAAATTTTAAGCTACCTATTTTATAATTTTAACCAAGATGTCTCGTCTCGTCTCGGACTCTCGGTATCGTCCCGGAATTCCTACGGACGACGGAAAATTTTCCCGGTTTTTATTGCGAACCGGGACAGAGTCTGTTGTCTCGTCTCGGATACAAAAAAATACCAAACGCAGGAGTCTAGCCGGACAACTGTCCCTTAGTACTCCACCCGTCCCTTATTACCTGTTTGACATTGACGGTAGTATAACTATAAGGTTGACCCTCACCCATGAGAAGCTCATTTTCGCGGATGGAGCTTGTTGTTTGCCTGTGACATCACTGATCTCAGTGCCGTCATGGGCATTAACCAATCGACGAATTGCGTTCAAACCAGTCAACCAATAAGTAATGACTCGTGAGAATGACGGGTTTGTTTACGTTTCTCGATCTCAGTGACGTACCAAAAAGCTGAACCTGCAGAAGCTCTCAGGCCCCAGTCCCCACCCCACGGTCATCCTTGCGGTTGTCCTGTGGCTTTAAGTCCACCCAGCGTGGACATCCGGAAATGAAGAACTTCAGCTTAACCCAGAAGGGGACTTTTTTGAGCAACATCATGGATGAACCCAGACTGCGACCCTGGCTCTGCAGTCTGCCTAAACTAAAGTCCCGCAGAATGGAGTGTGCTGCTGCTCGACTCAGAATTGGACATGCCGGTGTCAGAAGCCATCTACATTCTACAAAGATTCAACATGAGCGACTCTGATCACTGATCAGTGTGCTACGTGCAACACTGTGGATACGATTGAGCACTACTTGTTGCATTGTCAGCGGCATGCACAGCCCAGACAAGAGCTGAAAACTAATTTAAGATGTATAAATGTACAATTTTCTGTGCGTGAACTTTTGTCAGAGGGAACTATGATGCTGATGTACAAATGAAAATCTTTCAATTTTTGATAGTACAGCAATCCCTTGATTAACGCGGTTAATAAATCCCCGAGTTTTACCGTGTTAAGCAAAACCGCGCTATTCAAACTTAAGAATATATGGGAATAATTATAATGAATCCTCAAAAATAGCAAAGGAAAGGAAAATTATGTAGTTTGATAAAAGTGAGCAGTAGATATGGCAGCAATCTTGACCAGTTGAAGGCTAACGAGTAACTAGCCCTCTACGCACTGAATTATGTTTCGAAAGTGAAAAAACAATCTGAATTACGTACTTTTCAGATCACGCGCAGTCTTTGTGTTAAACTGGCAGTTGGAAAATGAAGCGTTGTGAAAAAAAAGTCGCGCTAATCAAAACTGGCACCGCGTAGATTAAGGGTAGGTCGCAAATTTTTTTTCCGCGTTAATCAAAACCGCGGTATTCAAAACCGTGCTAATCAAGGGATTGCTGTATACATTTTGAAGTCGGGTAGGGTTAGCGAACTTTAGACAGGTGACCAAAATGGAAATGTTGCTTACATGTTTGTATTATTGTATAAGTGTGTATGTGTGTGTGTGTAGTACCTATATATTTATATGTATGTTGTATGTATGTATGTCAGTATGTGCATGTATACACATCATCATAACACATGCATCACCCAAATTATCTCCCTTGTATTAGTTTACCCAATTTAACTCTCAATCATTATGCCAAGTTCTATAAGCAATGACCCTTGCTTTCTGATATTTTTTCATGTTATGTGTAACTTTTCTCTTACACACTGTCATGCCCAACCATCACCACATCACGTCCAGTTGTCCACTGACCTTTTATAAGCAAGAATAAAGTGGATTGACTTCCATGCCAAGAGGTCCAAAACTGCAGAAGCTCTCAGGCCTAACCCACTATGCAGAGGGTGGATGCAGCGTCGGCAATATATGGATTTTTAAGCCCAAAGCGTCGCCGGCCATTTAAAAATGCGTCGCCGGGTAATTTTTAATGAAAAGCCATTTACGCTAGTGTAATGTAGTGAGTAATGACAAACTATTTACAAGCCACGAACTTATTACAAGGTTGCATGCACGTGTTAACCCAAACAACTAATTTTACCCTAAAAACAGTCCGGTTGTACAGCAAGTGTCAACTGAACAAGTAATAAAGCAGTCTGACTGCTCTAATGCGACCGAAACTTCGCAATCGAAAAAATGTTGTTTACATTTTTTGCGGGAACTCATCGCAACTGATTTCCGGACAAGCTTCGCTGCATCGTAATCCATCCAACGTACCGGAAACCTTACTTTTTTTCTAAATAGTTGGCTGAAGACTGAGAAATATATTAAATGCAAGAATTTCAATCTAAATGTGTCGGCAAGATCTTCTGAAGGCGAAAATTTTGCCGATAATGCGTCGCCGTAGGTCTTTAAATCTTCATTCACTCTCTGCACAGTGGGGCCTAACGGTCATCCTTGCAGTTGTCTTGTGGCTTTAAGTCCACCCAGCGTGGACACCCAGAAAAGAAGAAGAAGAAGAAGAAAAAGCTGAACTCGACTGAAAGACAGAACTTCTCGTGGGTCAACCTTATATATTGGGGTGTGCAGCCGTAGACCAGCAAATTACCTCTCAAATCAGCCCTGGCGCAACATCAACCATCTAAATGCTATAGATATTGTCAACCTGGCACCTAAGCAGCTGACCTATCTCACCACACTAATTTTAATTTCTTTAAACCTTTAAACCAACACTGCTTTAAGTTTAGCACACAAGCTGCTTGTACTCCAGTACTCCACATAGTTAACAAGCAACATGTTATTCTCCAATGATTTTTAGCCCCTACCATCACTTCTTACACTTACACATGCTTGCTAGCCTCTGGCATGGGGTGGATAGCTAGAGGTCAGCATAGCCCAGGTCCACAGTGCAATTCATATACCTTCCCTACTCCCCAGGGTGGCTTTCAGTTGACAACCCCCACTGTGCTGATTGGAAGCTTATACCATCAACGTTATTGCAGAGCAACCATGCTACTCCCTACCGTAACGCAGCCGGGCATCTTCATGGCTTTTGACACAAAGCGCCCACCACAACAGCACCGTTCAGTCACAGGCTGGAGCACAACTGGCCAGGGCACAACAGGCCCTACCGCAGCTAGGGTAAATTTGGTATATTCCGTCACATTAAGGACGCATCGAGAAATGAAAAACTATAAAAAAAATAACCGTATGCATTACTCAAGTTCTGTTTGCTTTATGTGACTCTCAAAACACCGCACTACGTGTCAGCAACAACGAAACGTCACAAAATGTTGCTATATTTATTTACAAGCCTTTAGAATGGAAACCTACCAAATCCCTATATTCTGTCACTGTGTGTGGCAATATTCGGCACGTGGTGAGGCGTATTTCGTCCGCGCTTCAAATTCTACTGATACGTAATGGAGTCCTCCATGTGTTCGAATTCCGTTTGCTGTGTGAGCTGTATTGGAATACAACACGGCTTTGAATTAGAACACTAATGAATATTGAACACCATCATTATTGAACACTCATTATTTCAATATGTCATTTATTCTACATCTACATCATCTATACAAAGGAAAAGGATGACTTCAAATTACTGTTAGTAATGGATGAGTACACTTTGCATGCTTCAAACATTTTAAAATTGAGTTTTATTTCAAGTGTCCTGGATTACCCTGTTCCCAGGGGTAATTTGGGATGCTTTTATTTTGCACCTAGCACCTTAGAAATAGCATATGGAATTTTTTGAAGATGCCATACCTTGAAGATGCCCTTGCAAAGTGCTATAAAATGAGCCTAAACTTGTTTATGAAATGTTTCATGGTATCTGATGGTAAGAAGTTATTAACAAAAAATGCTCAAAACCATCCCTTATTACCCCATTTGACAGTTCATCCCATTGTAATAGGGAAGGTAAAAAAGTCACTTGTTTGCCACAATGTTCAGACTACAAGTATAATTCCTCCTTGCTAGCTGTAATTTTTCAATATTTTAAGTAATTTATGCATTATTTTACAGATCCGTTACAAACACTAGAGAATTTAATCCTGAGGAGGCTCTAGTGTTTAAAGAAGATTTCATTTATTCATTTTGGTTCATTTCTGTAATTTTTTACCTCCAATGATTGAGCTTGTTTTCAATGTTGAGCACTTAAGCAGACCAGATACTGTATACCATGTGGGATAATTAGAAGCCAACTTCTATCATAGCTTATTAAGATTAAATTGAGAATGAAGCTCACTAGAAGCCTACTGAAGAAAATTGCGGTCGGCGTGTCTGGTGGTGTTGACAGTGCAGTGGCAGCTTGGGCACTGAAAATTCAAGGTTGGTTTATTCGATTAAAGATTACCACTATTTATGTTTTTACAATCTAATTTCTTTTTAATTGCCTGATATACGGGTACGTAGTTAAAATTTTATTTAATTAATGATGTTGCTGGTATGAGGTATCCAACTATCTTTGTATCCATTTATATCTTCTTTTACATCAAATGGCTGGAATTTTTTACTAAAAAAAGTTATTTATCCTCCACATGATGCTTTTCACCTTTCATTCTATTAGTATAGTTACTATAGTAGTATTGTATATAGCATCTGTGGCGTAGAAGTATAGGCCTGTTGCCAATTCTTGTCCTTTTCATGACTTGTTCACAGATCTAATATTTCCACAGATCCATTGACACAATTATTTTCCAGGTCACGACATCCATGGCGTGTTCATGCGCAACTGGGATTCTCTCAATGAATCAGACTCAGGCAATTGCACTGAAGATACAGAGTGCGCTGTGGCTGCATGGGTGTGCCGCTCACTCGACATTCCATTCACTGAGATGAATTTTGTCTCGCATTATTGGAATGATGTATTTCAGTATGTATATATATATATTTCAGTATGTATATATATATAAACTAACAAGAAGTTAATAAATAAAACTAATTCTCTGGTCTTTAACAAAACTTGTTTAAGAGAAGAAATTCTGCCAACCTACACTAATATATATATATATATAGGTTCATATAAAATGCATGATGAATTGTCATGAAAAATATTTGAGTAGTTATCCCTTTGCATTTTTTTAGTGAGGTAATACCTACAGTGATGCTGATACTTTTTTATTCTACTTCAAGGAGTGATCATATCATAGGCACTGACAATCTTTTGATTTTTGCGTATTAAAATTGCAACTTTTGTTTAGGCCAACTCATGAATTTTAATATCTAGGTACACCTTGTCAGAATACACTGCTGGTCTGACCCCCAACCCTGACATTTTGTGCAACCGCCACATTAAGTTTGGGCAACTGGCAGAGACCTGCAGGGAGAGGCTTGGCTGTGATTGGCTGGCTACTGGTCACTATGCCAGAGTTGTGAGCGACAAATCCCAAGGTGATCTGCAATCAGCTATCCTGCTGTGACTTACGAACATGGGGTTTATTCTTCCTTTTGTAAAAAATTTCACTCAACATAAATTTGGGTGCTCATCTTAGGTCTTGTCCATGATGTGGTTCTCTCATTTATTGTAGACTAATTCATATTCATCAAATATTTTATCGCAGGTACCCGTCTATTGAAAGCCAGAGATGAGTCCAAAGACCAAACGTTCTTCCTGAGTGCTGTTCCTCAGTCGGCTCTTGCTAGAGCCATTTTCCCATTAGGTATGTGCTGCTACTTGCTAGAAATTGAATAGTTGTCTCTTTTTTAACTTGAATAATCATTTGTCTGAAGCTGGTGACCAATTAAAAAAATATAAGTTGAGCATAGTTGCTTATATTTAAACATGAATAACTACAGCAGTTCTTCAATCGTCATGACTGCCAGTTTGCCAATATTCTCTATTAGTGCAGTGCCTGTAAGCTGTTGATGATTTATATAGGTAGCAATTGTCATATGGGTGTATATTAGCCATATTCAAGACATTCTGAATACCTAAAACTCCCTACAGGAATGGGTTTTGATGTGTTAATTTATGACGACCAAAATATGTTGCATTGGAAGAAAAAGATGAGTTTCATGTAAGCAATTAATGACTTGGCACAAATAAGCTTCCCTTTTTAAAATCAGTGAGCTCCTGCATGCCTTCATACGAAAAGATTTTTCAACTAAAAAGGCATCTAAACGTCATTGAATCAGCGTCATAAATATTGATTTCTGTACAGGAGGCTTGCTTAAAAGTGAAGTTAGAGAAATAGCAGAAGCAGTGGGACTGACAAAAGTGGCTCATAAGAAGGACAGCACCGGCATTTGCTTCATTGGCAAAAGAAACTTCCAAAAATTTATTTCGCAGGTAGGCTTCCATCCCTGGGCATTCATGTGTCCACATCAATGTATCAGTTTAATTGTTTTTCTTGCACTTGAAACGCATTATGGGCGCCCTAGGAATGTTAGGAACAAGACGTGAGTTTGGGGGATTGCAACATCTAGAATTTCATCTCTCAAGTAGAGGGAAGTCTTATCTCCTTCATTTTAGTTTGCTCGTAATGGCATCAAGTTCAATTTTTAAACTGAATTCTTCTGGTTTCGTATATTATTCTTTTTTAATTTTTGCAAATAGATCTTTTTGAACATAAAATTTATGAAACCGCTGGAATAAATCCAATATTGCAATACAGATTATGAAAGCAATTAATCCTTCAATTTCTGAACATATGTCCTGAATAGATAGTTTGACCTGTGAATTCTGTGCAAAATCTACAATGATTTTCATCATGAAAATGACCCTGGCCGAATTATCAGATTTCTCACATTCTCTCGATGCCAAGAAAACAAGCTTCATTTTTTGCTCCTGAAGAAATTCAATAAGTATTTGGCCGTCGGAAGAATAAAATTGTACAATTTTCGTGAAATAATATACTAACGCGCTGTTTTGTTGGTACCGGTATATATACTTGACAAATTGACTATTGACCATCAGTACGTGGAGGACAGACCCGGCCGTATGGTGGACATAGACACCGGCGTGGTGGTGGGTGACCATCAAGGCCGGCATCACTGGACGCTTGGCCAGCGATGCCACCTCGAGGCCATCACCAAATATTACGTGGCCAACAAACTCCAGGACTCCAATGATATTCTTGTGGCGAGTTACTCTCTTGTTTCTATGTAGATATATTACTTACAAATGGAATGAATAAATGAATCAGATCTCATTTTGAGGCTTACCAATGTACAGCTCAGATTTTATTGCAATAGATATTTTACTTGTTTCGAATTCTTGTCGTGCACCGCTCACGGCTATAAAACCATTCTTCGTTTACGTTGGCACAAGGGCCTAACTATTCAATTTTGGTCCTAATCAAATTCAATTGCATAAATGCTAGTAGAATTTTAAAATTTACTTATAATTCGAATTCCAAGCTCACAAGATTGTATACTAAACGTATTGTCGTATCCGTCTTTCCTTCACCTATTTTTCTGCCAATATTTTATATGACCTTCCCTTCACTGCTGAGTGATGCTTCCTGGAATGATATTTATCGTTATGGTATGCAGTGTGCAGGCTATCACCACCCGAGCCTCTACAGTACGTCCTTCGTCACCGATCCTCCCCATTGGATCAGAGGTATCCCACCACCTCAGTTAACGAGTCAAGGCAAGGTACGTTTCACTTCGCAGAAAGTTTGCAAGTCTCTTAACGATTCTGATATCATTAAATAACATTTTACAGCAGCGTGCGAGCGAATTGTAACAGCCTATTATTAACGTCACGTTGAAGCACATTTTCAAATTTGATGTTGGTGATGGCCATGATTGGTCTCCTAAGTTTATGGTACTGATGGACGTTATTCGCCCTGTTAGAGAGAATGCTGCTAATCTTGACTATAAATAAATTTTTACCAAAGATTGCACGAGAAGAACGATACTACGATAGGTTGTACTTTTTAACGCTTCTGCAAGGCTCATTCAAGCCAAAAAAACTAACGAAAAATTGGCTCAAGAGAAGAATTAAATGTTCTAGCACATTTCAATTGTCATATCCTTCTTATAAAATACATTTACTGGTCACCGTCAGTTCAAATAGTACTGCTACAAAATCCATCTTCAGCGCAAAAGTTCAACTTGTAATTACAGGTCCTGTGTGAGTTTCGGTTTCAACGTGGGGCGCCTCTAGTCCCTTGTGTGGTGTCCTGCGCTGAGCCGGGCAGCTGCGGGGTAGGGCTGTCGATAGCTCTGAAGGAGCCCCTACGAGTCATCACTCCAGGGCAGGTAATGTAGCTATTTTAGGGGTGAGTTTCTACTATTCAACTAGGGTTAGTAGGAGACAGTATCTCGAAACGTTGCATTAACGAAGATCACTTTCTCATCACATCACGAGGGCTCTTTAATGCAAGAGGTTACTAGAATAAAGGCAGGTTTGGAATTTTCGTAACGGAGATTTAAACTCCTATTGCATTTTTTCACGGACAAGCGTCAATTCTTACTCAATAATAGCTGCTTCGCTTTCATACCATATTTAATCTGTAGCTTCACAACATACCAGGAATATTGTAAAAAGACTCTGTAATATTCATTCTTACCATTTAAATTAATTAGAATACCAATCCATCACAGTTTGCAGTTTTTTACGACGGAGAAGAGTGTCTGGGCTGTGCCAAGATTATCAGACCAGGTCCTTCTCTCTACGAACTCAACACCTCACACTGCAAAGACGTCATACTCGGTCTACGACGGCACCTGCCTTCCTTGGTGTGCAGGTCACTGGGGAAAATAAGGAGACGAGCTAAGGACACAGACGGTGCCGCTGCCGTGGCTCTTATTGATGATGCTAGGGATGCATTTTGTAACTTGGTAGAAAAAATTCCTTATGACTCTGATGTAGATAAATCTTCATTTAGAAAGTAGACGAACATTTTTGGCTTATTGAGAATGTTAATACACAAAAATCAATCGTGATTGCCATTTATTACCCAGACTTTAAGGAAGCTTGATTATTAGAAACTAGGGTTAGAAACCACGTTACATAAAACTGGATACATGAAAAGCTGATTATATTGGCTGAGAAATACGAACGCTGTTTCCGTAAACATGGAGCGAATGAATGTGGTTAGTTAAAAATCCACATGTAAAGTGGAACTGTTGTATTTCATCAGCACAGGAACAAATACTAGGATAGGTATTCGTCATGATATATGCAATAACATGTGACACAGGTAAATACTCAAGAGAGAGTCATTTAACTAAAATGATTCACTTTCGAATTTTCTCATTAATAAGAAAGACAGCTACGTTAAGAAACATGAATAATGGAGGGAGTAATTCAAGATGAACCGGATTCCTTCTCCTTGGCTTTGAGTTGCTTAAGACGCATCACCTCGGCATCTCTGGCCTTGCGTTGTTCAAGAGTCATTCCTTTGTTGCCTTCCTGTAGAAGATGAATATATTTTATCATCAGATCATACGTACTAATTGAATGATAAATCCTCACCCCAAATCAATTGATTAAGTTGTGCAATTCAATCAGTTTAACACCAGTTGAGTATCAAAAGTATTTCCATAAAAAATTATTCAGATAGCTTTGATCATAACTATTGTACATGAAAGTTACCTGCACTAACTTGGAATAAATTTAAAGCTAACCTCAATTATTATAACCAGAAAATTTTCAATGAACCAATTATAACATTATTTCTTCAACATGCAAGACCTTTTCAGCAGCTGCTTTCTTCTTGACATTGTCAGTTTGCTTTTTGGCGTTCTTGGCCCTAGCCAGCTCTCTTTGGTTCCCACCTGTGTTTAAAAAAAAAAAAATAGAATGAGTTTATAAACTTTATAAACTAGAGTTTAAAATCATATAATAATGAAGGTCACACACAAATTCAATTAATAAATTTATATGGAAGCCAAATTAAAAGCAATAGCAGCACGTCAAATTGCAGTAGCAATATAACCTGAAGTGCACTGCGATTTAGAAGCATATTGTCATTAGTATTTTTTAAATGACGTTTCTCAGCCTTTTGAGTGTTTAACTAGGTGATACGTTCCCAATTTGAACTATCCATTTGAAAAAGGACTCTTACTAAACTTGCCAACGATCTTTAAACTAGATAAATTATTACAAATTTTTGCACGCATTGAGAAGAGGTGTGATAACCTTTGGCTCAATGTAACCATTCTTATGGTGTTCATGCAGTTCCTCACCTAAAAGTTCAACTCTAGTCTGATATTTTGCTCCCGCAATAAGGAATTTAGTTGGAAAAAGTAACAAGACTTGCGGATGAATATGCAGTGGGGGGAAATAAATATTCGTACACTTGAAAAATCGTATTTTAATGTATGTAAGTACACAAACTTAACAGGAAAAGTGATTTAAATTATGTATAGAGACGCATAGTATTCAAAAATACTATCAAAATAAATTAAATTTCAATGCAACAAAAAACAATGCAACATGTTCACTTTTCGGGGTGAAAAAAGTATTCGTACAAAACAATAAATCCGCATTATTTTAATTTAATACTTGGTTGAATACCCTTTATCCAGCTCAACAGACACCAGTCTATTTCTATACGTCTCGACCAATGATTTGCAGATGCTGACTGGTATTTTATACCATTCTTCTTGGCACACCACCTTAAGATTCTCAATGTTTGTTGGGGACCTTTTTCAAATCATTGGTCGAGACGTATAGAAATAGACTGGTGTCTGTTGAGCTGAATAAAGGGTATTCAACCAAGTATTAAAATAAAATAATGCGGATTTATTGTTTTGTACGAATACTTTTTCACCCGAAAAGTGAACATGTTGCATTGTTTTTTGTTGCATTGAGATTTAATTTCTTTTGATAGTATTTTTGAATACTATGCGTCTCTATACATAATTTAAATAACTTTTCCTGTTAAGTTTGTGTACTTACATACATTAAAATACGATTTTTCAAGTGTACGAATATTTATTTCCCCCCACTGTAGATTAATGCATTAGTTTGAACCTTCTTTCAAATATCAAGGATTAGAATTGTGAGGTTGAATGTTTAGCAGCCTTGTTAACTTGAGCTTAAATGGTATTATTTAGTTAATATATAAATGATTCTGAAAGCTTTATGACATCAAAAACAAAGGTAGGATTTATTGATCATGAAGTATGAACTATTTTCATCGGTACTAATACCGTATACCTATATTTATGCAACTGATTCTGAATTGCCAAACACAGGCAGCATTCACATAATTTTCAATCACATCTCAATTGGAGAGACATCACAATTCCTTCAGTATGAAATTGTCATGGTGCAAAGTTTAAGCAGTTAACAAATCTAAAATAAATAGTTGATTTAACAAATGTTTATGCAAAGACATAGCTGGATTGAATCTTAAATCTTGCACTTCCTGGCTGTAACATTTATATTGTACACTAAAATATGAAATTTTAGGCTTCACTCTTGCAATATTTGTTAATCAATTGTGAATCAAAGAAGTCTTGTACAATCTGGATAATTGGCAGATTTTCCCAAAAATAGTGGATGAAAATTATCATTCCATGGGGTCTTTAGGACGCATAGGCAAAAAAGTGTCTTTTTCCCCACTATTTTTGAGACAAATTAGGTAAGGGTATTGTATTCTAAAGATTGTTAGCTGATGCTGAATTAAAAGATGTCAGAGTACACCGAGGTTGCTAGGGAGAGGCTAGATCAGAATACGGGTGTGTATCAAGTTTGCTGTTTGCAAGTACAGCGCTGGTGTGGTGATGATCCAAACATAGGAGCAACCTTATGTGACAAGGTTTACACCAAGCATGAACTATTTATGTAGTGGATTAATTTAAGAAACATGGATTGTTGCAGGCCAGGATGCTACAGTATGAGCACTTGGATAGTTGCAATTTTGGGTCATTCAGAAATGACTTCTGATTTACCATCCAGAGTTGACATCATAGATGCCATAAGGTGTGAAAGAACCATTTACTATTTGAACTACCTACTAGTGGATTCTGCAGCAATTATTTTTTGTTTTAATTTAATGGTAAGAAAAATTTAGAATTGTGAAACTGCTTCCTAAAGCCATGAATTACTGGTAATTCATGAAGCTGTAATTATTGCATGCTGTAATTATTAATTCTCTCTAAAATTTGAAGACATTTTGTGTCAATTCAAGCATAGGTAAACAATTTAGGGCTCATTATCAGTTTTGGGGCTAAGGTACATAATAGTTGGAATGGATAATGCACATTGTCAGACATATATATAACAGCTATATATAGACTTCATTCTTTCCTCACATAGGAGTACACAAAACAACAAATGAACAAGATCAAAGAAATGACAAAAAAATCCTATTGATTGTCCATACAAGCTGAAAAGCTTTGCAGGCAACAATTCAATATTTCAATTTCAACAGGCAAGAAAAGCAGCACATGACTTTATTAAATTAGAATGGGATAGTGATAAGAAGATAATAATGTTTACAAATGTATAGTATACAATTATACTAGCTACCCATAAAACTTCTGACATTAGGGCAGTAAAAGATGAGCTCAATGAATGCAAAATCAACATAACAGTGATTAAAAGAAGATACTACCATACTAAAAAATGTCACAGCAATAAAACCCATTTAATAACCAACATCAAATTAATAGTGAGCAGGAGTAAAATTACAGAATTTTGTTTTAGAAAGAATTTGGAACAGTCTATTTTAGAATCAACAATAATTTTTTGTAGCTGAACTCAAGTAAAACAATGCATGAGCTAAGTATGTTGCATACCATCAACCTAGCAAATGCATTCTGTCAAACAAATAACCATTGAACAACAATTACAACTCTTATGCCAAACTATGTGACCTGAAAAATAACCTAAGTCTGGCAACCAGAGTAGAATTCTAAGAATGGTGGTTCATAGATTGAATAATAATCCCAATTCACTGGCTTATTGAGTGGAATTGTGCAGCTCCGATCAAAGCCACTTTAGCTCATTTGTTCAATTTTGCTTGGCTGTTTCAATTCAAATGCTAACACTGCGCTTCTAACCTAGTCCTGATAATCTAAGGGATAAGACTCCCCCCCCCCCAAAAAAAGACTGAAAAGTAAGGCACCACATGGGTTAAAATTATCAATTCATTGCCTTACATATTTCAGTGTACTAAAGTGGTAGAAGACAGATGTCAATTATATACACTTCTCCACAGATGTTAATTTATTATTGTAATGCCAAAGGTAAATGATTTGGTACATGCTACAATGTTCTACTATCAATTCAAATATAGGTACCAATCAATATAAATGGTGTATATTGATCTATATAGTTTCATAGGTTGACTGACCAGACCTGAAATTCACATCAGCACTGCTATAAGGTTATGAATCCTAGATAGCAATAATGAAAGATGCCAATATTGGCCTGAAAAGCATCAGTTTATAGCCTGTAAAAATATCAATACAAGGCATACATATACATTTTCAATTGCAATTCTACCACTATAGGCATTTTTACTTGTTCACTGCATAATATTCTACATTGCTCATTGTTGATTAATTAATAAAATAATGAATATCTGTTTCTTTATATATAGTATCACAATAGTCAAGTTGCCTATCTTCCAATCCAATGTTTTAGATGTAAGTATCAGTTGAAAAAAACTTGCATACATTATAATAAAATATTGTGGCTTGGAAAATCATAATATTAGTTAGTAATTTAAAATCTCATCGTGTCCAAAAGGCTTTTTCATGGCCTTGAAAAATAACAAATTCTAATTTTTAATGAAATTTGAAGCTAAAAATGTGTAATTTAATAAATTTGAAATCTAACAGCCCAATCGTACAGTTCCCCAATCAATTTAGATACAAGATAATTGATAAAGCAGAAATCTTGCAGATACAAAGAGTAAGCATGGGTGAAAACCAAGCACGAACAACAACAAAATGACCAACCAAAATGGCAGACAGGCAGTTTTGGCTTCACTACTCAAGAGGCATCAAGTTTTAAAAGTCCCGCCCAATTAGCAGCTTAATTTGAGTAGCTTGTGTTTGGAAACCAACAAAAACATTGACTTGTCATGATGCCATATTGTTTGTTAGAATAGATAGCCTACATTGGAAGCTTTCTGTTGGAATCACAGCTGGCAAACCCATGAAGCCACGGCTCAAATGGAAACACTGCTGGCAAACCCATGAAGCCATAGCTCAAAAAATCCAGTCGCGGCTTGCCAAGTAGATATATTCCATGCCTGTACTGAGTGTACTCAACCTTTACTGGTCTACTAATAGGACAGTAAGACTCAAAAAGAAACTTGGAGTTGAAGGTTTCTAAAAAAAGGCTGCTCTGACAGACTGACACTATGGCAAAAGCCACCTATGGTTGGACAAAAATGCCTGTGAATCTGGTTGACTTCACCTGTTTCAAATTTCTATTGCCCTTACCCATTTCTTCAGAAAAAAATAAGAACAATAACCTATTTTCACCCAAGATTTAAATGCTCACCTGTCAAATAATCATTTTTACCTTCATTTTGGGAAATTTATACACAGTGGGGGGAATTAAATATTCGTACACTTGAAAAATCGTATTTTAATGTATGTAAGTACACAAACTTAACAGGAAAAGTGATTTAAATTATAAATAGAGACGCATAGTATTAAAAAATACTATCAAAAGAAATTAAATCTCAATGCAACAAAAAACAATGCAACATGTTCACTTTTCGGGTGAAAAAAGTATTCGTGCAAAACAATAAATCCGCATTATTTTAATTTAATACTTGGTTGAATACCCTTTATTCAGCTCAACAGATACCAGTCTATTTCTATAAGTCTCGACCAATGATTTGCAGATGCTGACTGGTATTTTATACCATTCTTCTTGGCACACCACCTTAAGATTCTCAATGTTTGTTGGGGACCTTTTCTTAATTTGAATCAACTAATTGTATCGCGTTGGAAGGAAGGAGAAAGTTATAGGAAGATTGCTAGCCACTTGAATGTTCCTTTTAGTACAGTTGCTTCGTTCATTGGACGCTTCAAGACCCGTGACAGCGTTGAAAACCAAAGACGATCAGGTGCTCCTAGGAAGATTTCTGCACAATCTGCTAGATTATTGGGACGAAAAATCCAAGAAAATCCACAGATTACTCGAGGAGAGTTGCAAAGTCACCTGAGTGCCTCAGGAATTCAAGTAACCAAACGAACGATAAGCAATGAACTTCACAGAAACGAATTAAAATCACACACCCCAAGAAAGACCTCACTCCTAATGAAACGACATCGAGATGCCAGGCTGAAATTAGTCAAGGAGCATAAGGACAAAGACTATGCTTTTTGGGAAAAGGTTCTTTGGACGGACGAAACAAAAATTGAGCTTTTCGGTCGAAATTATCGTCACCATGTGTGGAGGAAAGACGGTGATCGAGGGTTAGGCTTAAGTGTGCGCGACTCTAGCGTATATAAGGACCTCAGATTTCGCGCCAAGGGTTGTTGGTTCTACGGCGGAGACCGTCACGCACGTGCAGTCTGCTGTTAGCGGACGTACAAACGGCTGCGGCCGTGAGGCCGCGGTGTTACCATTTTCGAACATTGACGGTCGCGACTTGCGAGAAACTTAGACCCACCAAGGCAGTTACGATTCCTGTGAGTGCGTCAAACATATACAATGGACGGCTATGACTTCAACATATTATATGGTCAACATCAACACTACGGCTGCGACTCAATCGTGAGACCTTGCGAGAAACCACGAGATGTACAACGAATAATAACGCACGTCATCAGAAGATACAAGTTTCGAGCTCTACACCAAGAATCATCAGTACAATACGGTCACGATTTCCATCAAGAAGAAGCGGTACGATTGTATTCATCTTCAACCGCCGAAACACCGCATTGAGCCAAAGTAACATCATCGACGATGAAATCTATGCCACTATTCTGAAGTACGGTCGTTGTAAAACAACCTACGGCCAGACTGGCCGCATGGCATCTATATCAATGAGATACGACAGCTACGAAGAAAGAGCAACTGTGAAGAGAGACGCGCGATACAGCTAGCTGCAGTACGGCCACTTGAAATACGGCTGCACGCGCGGTGACAGCCGTGGTACGGCCCCGGAACGTACAGCCATAAATATGTGCGCAAGTTACGGTCGTTTACAACAGTCGTACGGCTCAACGGAACTGCAACGGATCACACGCTTTTTTTCCAGTAAAATTAGATGATTTTACATGATGATGATTTAACTGATAGATTTTGGACTTTGTGTTCAGCTCGCCTTTTTCATGTACTAGAGATTTTTTTGTTAACATAGGATGTGAACCTGAATTTCTCAATTTAATATGAAATGTATCAGTGTTTCATTAAAACCCTCTCTTTGTACTATATTTTGCCGGAACCTGTCTAAAAAGAGAACCTTATTCACGTGCCAACTATCAAGTGCCACTCGGCAAACCACCTGACAAAACGATAAGCAATGAATACCGGTATCTTGAACCTGAACCTGAATGTAACGTAAAATTGGTGGAGTAATCACTCCGAGTCCCCAACTTTAAAATATATGAGACGATAGGAAACGTTGTCTTTCTTTTCTTATATTTTTTTCCCCCAATTTAATCAAACTTCTGAACCGAGACAAGAATTCTGTCCTGGACTTAAAAACTTTTGTCCTGGTAAATTATGAACCGGGACGAGACAGACAGATTTGAAATGAGACATATCGAGACAAGACAAGATTTGTCCTAGTTATTTAAGACAAAACAAGTTTTTTTATTATGATACGAATCATTTCAAAAACATGGGTTGAAGAAAGAATGCCAAGTTAGCCCTGCTATTGCTAATAGGGCCAAGACAGTTACCAGATTAATTGAGTTAATTACAGATGTAGCAAAATTTTTCTGACTAACTGACATGGCAGTTAATTAGTGGTCCGAGTCCGACAAACACTGCAAACTTGCTGATGTATGACTGAGTATTGAGTAAAAAATGTTACTCTTAAGTCTTAACTAAAGCTTTGATGGCACTTATGGGAACCGTACATATACGAGTTGAGTTCATTCCGCATTCAGAACCAGTTCAGGCGCCATGGAGCGCATAGGGAGTAGGGACGCAGTGTCTAGATTGGTCGCATAAAGGATAATTAGTAGACAGTGGAGTGGAGTCCTGGTAAGATATTCCTAATAATACTACAGATCTTCACAATTGCCGCTAAATTGCACAATTACCTGAAGTGTCATTAAACGCTTTTTTAATGTTATTTAGAAAGGATACACATGGATATTTTGAGTTCTTTTTTGAAGATCAAACTATTATATTTTTTCCAACTTAAATTTTGTAGTATTTTAAATGTTGATATTTATTTCCTGACTTTTTGTTGAAAGAGATTGCGCAAGGCAAGATCAATGAATCTGATTCTGTGATTGAGCTAGAGGCAAATCAAAGTCTGTCCAGTCAGCCAATGCCACCAGCTATATACAGCTAGATTGGCCTCCCCTTCCTCCAGACCATCATCATCATGGAACACAATTTTTTGAAAATAAATAATGTGCTTTTCCATTTTTATTTGCCTGTCAAAATTAAGTACCATATTAAACCACAACATGTATTCATAGCAAAAATCATTTCAACTGCTGAGCTCCAATCGCAATCTGAATAGTAAAAGGTTAGGATACATCTCAAGACCAAGTTATTATATAAATGTATGATGGTAAGCCAAAATTTACACCACATCAATAATTGATTCATCTCGTTATTTCTTGTTATGTCTCATTAAATGTCTGTAAATTCCGGGAAATTTAAAGCTACATATTTTATCCGGGATGTCGCATCTTGTCTCAGTATTGTCCCGGAATTCCTACAGAGGGCTGAAAATTGTCTCAGTTTTTATTGTAAACCGGGACAGAGCCTGTTGTCTCGTCTAGGCTAAAAAAAATCAAATGCAGGAGTCGAGCCAAGATCACACATGAGACCTCACAAATTGACATTTGGTGCAGGAGTGGAAAATTCTTACTTCATATTGAAATCTCACAGCTCCAAAGTGGCATCTTTTCCATTTACAAGTAAACCATTGGGCCGTGGGCGTTGCTGCGTTGGGCCTCAATAATTTCTCATAAGTAGGACTAGGTATCAGATTAAAATTATTTTTTCCTGATGTAATTGTAAAATCAGAAAATGATATTCACACAGATACACTGCTGCTGTTGAATGAGGAAACTAAATTTCACAGCTGTTCAGCCTTTAGAAAATTTCTCTAAGGGGTTTTCCAGGTTTGTTTGATAATAACGATAATAAGCTTAAGATGACAAAATAACGATATCCTCTCTTTTGGACAGTTTGCAAAAGTTTATATTAGTTTTTTAAATAGCTAGTTCGTTTAATCGTTTATGACGCAATATTGCGTCATAAACGTAAACATAACTCAACAGATTATTCGTATTAGGCCAGTGAATGAGTGAAAAGAACTAAGGAAGATCATTCATAAACGCGAAAATGTTTCTAGTTTACCAGTTAAATAAATTTGACAGCCGTACATACGGTATATAGTTTGATGAATCTAAAAATTTGCAAAGCAATTATTAAGTAAATTACTTACGTGCCATTCTATCGATTATTAGGAGCAAGTCGAGCGCCTTACGGCCTCAAATTAGGCGTACACACCTTCACTATCGCTTGTTTCTTTTACACTGAGATTCAAGAGATGAAGAAAGAAGTAGGAAGTAGTATTATGTATTGCCACAGAAGAGAAAATTCTACTAAGGAAATTACTTCCTGTTGGCTTGGAACCTGGCAAATGAATACTAAAGATTTTAGTGTACAATTTATATCTAAATAATTTTTATGTATTAACTACCGTAGTTAATTCCACGTCAATTTAAATTTTCTAAATCAAATAAACCCTTTTCATGAAATATCGGCCAGACACGAAAATCCAATTTTGCATTTTTATTTAGCACATGTGCGTGTATAAAGTTGTGATATTAAGCTCTAAAATGGATAGAAAAAATCCGTGAATTTTCGTGAATTTTGGCATAAACGCATCAATTCGCAAAAACATCAATTGAAAGAATAAATTTATGAGTGTTGAATAAAAATTAATGCAAATTATCCTTAGCATAATTTAGAAATCAGACCTCATGTCCACGCGCACCCAAATTTTGTAACGGCACAGACTGCGCTTCAATGTATGGCTGAAAGTCATACATACAGGTACACAGCATACGTAACAAACATACATGCATTACCATGTAGCTGAAGTAACCAAGGAAATTCGAGTTTAATGGTGATAGTCAGACACACTAAACTAAATAAAAAGTCAGAAACTAAATTTTGAGATCCAATGTGGTAAGCCAATACGACCGGTATTGTGGAGACACCCCCGGATAGTTCGCCCTAGCAGGGAACCACAACTATAACCATTATCCACTTTCTTAATTGCGACAATTAATGAGATTTGCGGATCAGGAGTAGTAATTAGTGTTCTTCTTATAAATCGGAATAGACAAATAAATATAATTAATCCAGATATATTTTGAAACTATATAATAGGCAGGGTGGCCTAGTGGTTAAAGTTCTGAGTACCAGGATTGGCGCAGAGAGGCGCGGGTTCGATCTGGCGCGGGTTCGCGGGCCAGTTTCTGGTCAGAATCGGCGAGGAGGCCGGGCGGTTAAGCATAGCAGAATTGTAGCAGTAAGTTGCGAGTTCGAGACCGCAAAATGCTGTGAATGTTCTGCGATGTTAAGAATCGGCGACAGGCCTACGGCCTAATAATCGCTGAAACCGCTATTATTATTTAATAGAAATCTTTTGCGTGCAGCGTGCAATTTTGCAGCCAAAATCAAAGGATTCCATTTCCATGTTTACTCAACATCTGCAGGTACATAGAATTCAACAGAACCGTAACTTATTCCTTGTTCAAGCAATACTTTTATTTGCTTTGTGACTGACATACTAGGTAATGATTATGAACTTACTTACATGGTAACACACATGAATTAGAAAAAAATCAAGCTTTTATTTTAATCCATTAATTTTTTTCTAGTTTGGTTTTCTTGAATTATCGATAGTTTCATGTCCCTCGTTTGCAATAACTAATTTCTTCTTCATATCAAAATAAGATATGATTCATTGGAACACTGTATAATTTTCCTCGCTGGGTATTGAGCGAATATAACGCAGCTCTATCGGTGAAAAAAAAAACAGAAAACTAAAATCAATCTTCACGACATCACCACCAAGAAATGAAATAACTAATCATAAATTATATTTTTCCATAGGAAAACCGAAAATGCGCACATATTACAATGGAAAAAAGACTCACCCACCCGACAAAGAGTAGGAATTTTAAGGTTTACATAATAAAATAACAGAATTTAAAGAAATACTGAACTATTTACATGAAATATCCGAAAGTCTAGCGATTAAACAGGCAATGACATCGACATGAATAATATGATCATTATCGAGAGTTCATCTGGGCGTTGCGGTTCTGAAGGTTACAGGCAACTTTAAATTTAAATCTAAAAAAGTTATTCACAAAAATATTAGGACACAGAACGAGTGAAGCTATTTTGTACTCGTTGAAACCTAACGATCAATAGGCGAGCTGAAGACAGTCAGGGTGATCTGCCTTCTATAGGTTACGTGCCACTGTTTACGGCCGCTGCCCGCAGCTACAAACGCTTCCAATATACTTAAAAGACTGAGTCTATTCTGTACTGCTTCCGTTTGACTTAGATATGCAGTTTTTAAGTGTGCAAAAAGATAAAGATAATTGCTCCATTAACATATAACTCCTAAGAAGTGACCAAATTATGCCCATCATGGGTGCAGGAGTGACCTCGACCATTCAAGATAGCAATAAAGTGCCTTATTATACAGTATTTTCCGTAGTGGCACTCAACCAACTTTGTTTTCACCGACTCCACTTTAACTTCTGATTTGGTTGTTGAAATAGACTCCCAAATCTAGACGCAGTGACGATAAAGAAATTCAGAGGCGTACATATTCAGTCATCTAATAAATTGAAATCAGAAGATAAGCTCACAGTGATATTAGCAGAATAACTGTGCACGGGAGCGAAAACATTTAAAAATCGCCAATACTTGGAAAACAGACGCCAAGAATTTAATTTTTCTCACATGAGCTTGTCATATTAACGCTGGCTCGGTACTGTAACACAAATCTTATCGCATTCACTTTAAGATCGACGCACAAAATTTTCAGGACGTCTGGATAGTCTAAGAGTGTTTGAAAAGCGTTCTCGATGAACTTCATTAAAGACATTTGTGTCGCCATTTACCAGCCTCATGTAACCGGATAAGCTGAACACCTCAACAACAACAAGTCATTAGTGACACAAAATGGGACGAGCAACGGGAAAACAGGTCCCGGATAATTACAGAGGAATGGTAACTTCACGAGCAGTTGATGCATTGGCCTTTTGCAGGCGAGAAGGAGGGCAAACGTTACTGCACTCGAGCATCACCTGCACGAACAACAAGGACTCACATTCACACATTTTGGACTGAATCAGGATAGAAACAATAATTTAAGGATTCTACATTAGTGTTTTAAAAGTAAGATTATGATTGAGACTTCATTTACCAGATGTGACATTTTTAAGAGACATAAAAAAATTATACCATTGGTAATATTTTGTTTGACCATCAAACCGAGAAGAGTTCGTTTGTTGCTGTGGTCACTTTCTTTGGAAAAGCAGTGAGACACATCACTCACTAATGAGACACATCACTCACTCTAATGAGACACATCACCCACTAGTGAGACACATCACTCACTAATGAGACACATCTGACACATCACTCACTCTAATGAGATACACCACTCTCTCTAATGAGACACACCACTCACTCTAATGATATACATCACTCACTCTAATGAGACACACCACTCACTCTAATGATATACATCACTCACTCTAATGAGACACACTACTCTCTCTAATGAGACACAGCACTCACTCTAAGGATATACATCACTCGCTCTAATGAGACACACATCACTCACTCTAATGTGACACACCACTCTCTCTAATGAGACACACCACTCACTCTAAGGATATACATCACTCACTCTCATGAGACACACCACTCACTCTAATGAGACACACCACTCTTTCTAATGAGACACAGCACTCACTCTTAGGATATTCATCACTCACTCTAATGAGACACACATCACTCACTCTAATGAGACACATCACTCACTCCTCATCTCGGGAGGGGCGCCACCAGCAGGCTGCACGCCATGTCTCAGCGCCTCCTCAGCCTCAGCCAGGCCCTCAATGGCTGACCGATCTTTGCTTGCTCTGCAGTGGACGGTCACACTCGGGTCACGATTATCTAATTAATTCTCAATGATATTTCAACTCAAAAGCATGGCTAGAAAAATGAAAATGATGAAGAAAACATTATATATGAAAATTGCATTTTCGGATCGAAGATGCATGAATAAGCATATGAATATCATGTCAAACTTTATTGTCATGCAAATAGCGGAATTTTTAAAGATATGTCAGGTCACGATGTGATGCTCCATCAAGCGATATAGTCAAATTAATTAAAAATTCATACTTGAACTTCTAGTTATGTTCCAATCACAGCCAAAGTTCTAAATAGCTAAAATACGCAAGAAAATGAGCAACAAGCTCATCTTCAGCTCAGACATTTACATGGAACGATGGCAGTGTTGCTTAGAAAACTAAACTCAAACGTCAGAATACTGCAATTTCTTTCAGCATTTGCTAGTGGCAATATTTCAAGCAAAGGGCAAACCTATTAGGTAAAGGATTATCTCAACTCAAGGTAAAGGGTGGAAGTAATGCCAATCGACGTCAGATGGTAATTTCCCTGGTTAACTTACCGAAGCTTCAGTTACTAGACCTCTAGATACGAATATATTTGACGAAGGTTGATGGACCTATAGAGAAAGGGTCAAGTGAGGCTAACTCGACATGATGCATGCTGTGAGAGGATACAAGGCTGTGAGAGGATACAAGTCTGTGAGAGGATACAAGGTGCATCCTGTACATCCTCGTCCTATACAGTACAAATAGATACCTATTAATTACAGGAGATATAGGTATGCTCTGGCGACACAGATAAACAAATCAAGTAGAAAATAGATATCGGTAAAACAAATCTTCAATGAGGCACTGGTCGGATTTATTGGGCAGCACTAAAATCACTGGCAGCACTCAAATTAACGTCAAGTGTAGTCCATAAGAGCTTGAGATTAACCAAGTAGCATAAAGTTTACTTCGGGGCACCACCCAAAACCTGCTGGGGCACCACCCAAGGCCATGCCGAAGCACCGCCATTACCGGCTACCAAGCGCTGCCACAACACAACAAATGAACTGAGCTCACCAAGTCTAGCTCTTCTCATCTCAGTGCCGCAACAACAGCGCTTCAGTGGTCTTACAGTCAAACATATTCGACAATACATATACCGTAGCAGCTAAATTAAATAAATCAAGTGACTAATATTAATATTAGCAGGTGAAGATTACAATGCTGACCAATAGACGAGATGGCGGTCTCGAGAAGTAGCCTGGCGGCGGCGGCTGAGCTGTCGTGCTGCAAGAAGGCGGCCACGCCACGCAGGGCGGCGGTCTCGTCGCCGGCGCTGATACTCTGCTGTACTGCGACCTTGGCTGCCTGGTCACCGCCAGTCTGTACACACAACGCCGTTAGTCCAATTTAATGTAGTGGTAAAAGATCAATTAGTTCACACTACTCTTGTTCAACTTAATGGAGGACGCACTAGTAGAAATACAAGTTTATTCAGGATTTTTCTTTGTAATAACGAGATAACTTAGAAAAGAATATATTTCTTTCGCAAGTAAAGTCAGAAACTAAATATATCAATCGCCTTTACAATCTGAGCACGAAGATATATATTTAAAAATTTTAATTTTGAGTAATAGATAAAAAAAATAATTACGTTTCCAGACGAGATACCGCACTAGTTATGGGTTGACATAAAAAGCATAACAAACCTGGAAAGCCATGCGCACAAGCTGGACATCGATGACAGCCATTACTTTATTTTGACCTTTTGTAGATGCCTCCTTGAAGCTTTTATCTTTCATCAAGTCTCCATCCACAAACGAGTCAGCAGGACACTTCCTGTCCTGGGACCCACTTTTGCCCATAATTTCTGTGCGGCCTTTGTTCCGCAACATGTGTGTGCTGTCGCTAAGCTGCCCCTGGCTAAAAGCAGCCGTGCTTCCTTGTGACATGCTCTCATGTTCCCGACCTTCTGCTACAAACTTTGACTTTTCTGTTGCGCGATTCAAACTTGATTCTTCGTCAATTTCATCATAATCTAAAATATCATCTGAAGATAGTGCATCAGATAAAACATCATCAGAGCCTATCAAGTCTTCAGGTTTTGAATTATTTTCAATGATAGTTTTACCCGCAGTGTTTAGTTCATCATAATTTCTTGAGAGGTTAACAGAACCATCAGAAACATCTGATACATTATCCAAGTCATCTTTAACATCGCCACTGAATGGTCGTCTTTGTCGTCCACCCTCGGCATCCTCATCGGAGCTGATGTCGTCGGTGTTAAGTTCATCTTTGATGTAGGTGACCACCCTCTCATTCTGGCTATCATTTGATCCGTAATTAGCAATTCTTAACGCACCACTGTCGGTACTTTTTCGTTTTTCATCGCGATGAACTTCTTTGGATAATGGCATTCTGCTGGACGGAGGGTCGCTGACATTCTTGCGCGTCATCTTGCGAACTGAGGACGTTGGTTTGAGATGCTCACCGGGGCCAGCACCTGCACACGCCTCCCTCATGAGCTGCTGCAGCACTCGCAGCAACACGCGTCCGTCGCCGCGAACTTGCTCGCACAGAAGTGTCATGGCGTCGCGAGTTATGCCGATGCTGAACAGAGTGACTGAGTAAGCAGGGTGGCATCTCACATTTATGCAGAAAATTAACAAATATATGTCTCAAAAATACCCTGTAAAAAAAATTTGATATACGTTATAAAATAATCAATAATATTAGGAAATTAGAAATTAAAATAGTACGTAGCAACCTCAAAATAATTCAAATGTTAACAACACAACAAGTTCAGAAAAAAATTATCCTATGAAACTGACAATCAAAAACAATCTTTCATCTTGACAAAACAATTTTCAGGTGGTTGTGCCCCAATAAAAATATCTGTTGGACTCACGCTTGACAGTTGCTGGCGTGTGTTACGTCCCCCGCTTCGTCCTCAGAAGAGTCGATGCTCTCTAGGGTGCTGACGTGGCGGGCGTTGCCGTTGTCGAAGAACTCGTCATCTGAAACGCAATCCAAATCATTGGGGAGCAACTTGTCTCCCTCTTTGCTGCTACATTCGCCGTCGTGTTCAATTTTGAACTCATCACTGATCTTGTCCAGGTCTTTGGTGAGCACGTCCAAGATTGACTCATCCTCTTCGTCCGACATGTCTTCAATGCCGTTGTCGTTGATAGCTGAGCTGCGACTCTTTGGAAGCTGAGCAGTGACGGGCAGCTTTGCTTCTACACAAACTGGACCTTCAAGTTTAGGGATAATCTTTTTAGCATTTTCTGATCCAGTGAGCCCAGAGCTGCTCACTGATTTCTGTGCAGGAGTCAATTTGTTACCACATTCATTCTTTTCAGTTAAGTTGTATTCCAACTTAGGCTTCTTTGCTGGATTTATAAGGCGATCCTCAGAAATGATGTTCGAAGCAGTGTTTGTGGTAGAGCTATTCTTCAAGATGCTTTCATCCACTTTAGGATCGGACTTATCTTTGTCGGCTTCTTGATTAATGATTAATATTCGCAATCGCCTCAGCGCTCGTCTCAAGATTGTTTCCAAATGATTAGCCTGCAGTGCGTGCAGCTCAAGCAGATCACACCTGCAAAATTAAACGGTAAGCTTGTAGTAAAATACTAAAATACTTCACAGCATCACTGATGAAACGCAGGTACGTTTAACGAAACGAACACAATTTTCAACGGAGTAATTTAGGAGAGCTCAAGATTATAATTTTTCACATCAAGTGTTGAGGCAAGGGTGGACACCAATTATTTCCTGCCCATTGTATATAAGAAAGTGAAACAAATAACATACAACATCTAAATGAAAGACTCTGTAGTTCACGAGGAGAGCACAGATAAGTGGCGGAGCAGACTTACGAAAAATATATAAATGTAGTTATATATGAAGATAGGTAGAATACTTCCACGCACCGTGAAATGATTGCAGGGCTGAAGGAGGACCTTGGCTCATGAAGGCTGGTGGCGATCAAGACGACGTCGTCATCGTCCAGAGAGCTGGCCAACAAGTTCTGTGCAGGACATATAGTAGGTAGTACATATTCTAGCTTAAATAATGCAAGAAAATTTGAGGTGAGTTGTCAATTAAATTTTTGGAATATTTTTTTTTCTTCAGATATCTATGGCATAATGGGTGATCTTTCTTATCTAATGAATTAGAACCAAGAATAATAATAATTGTAAATTACAATAAAACTGTAAACTAGATTTGAGGTCTAGCTCCTCGGTTACTTCATACTATCTAGCACTTTACAGATCCGTTTTTTTGTTCACAACACCGGCTAATTCAAACTTGAAAATGAAAGAAGTATCCCGTTTTAATTCACTACACCGACTCCTCCCAACCTGAACATGAAGAGAAGTGCAGTGCAGATCATCAACAAAGAGCAGAAGTCGATTGCGCTTGAGGCTCTTGTTGCTCACGAGGATCTGGCTCAACATATCTGGTGAGAGTAGCGCGCCTGACACGCTCTTGTACCGCCAGCCGCAGCCTCTGGCACTGCAGCGCTTGGCAAGGATGCTTCCTAGGCAGCTCTGGTGGACATAGGATACGATCAGCTGGCGTGGTAAATATAGGTGTGTTGGCAGCTCTGTGATGCACGTGTGTGATGTCAGCTCTGTGATACAAATGAAAGATGTCAGCTCTGTGATACAAATGAAAGACGTCAGCTCTGTGATACAAATGGAAGATGTTGTCAGCTCTGTGATGCAAATGAAAGATGTTGTCAGCTCTGGGATACAAATGGAAGATGTTGTCAGCTCTGTGATGCAAATGAAAGATGTTGTCAGCTCTGGGATACAAATGCAAGATGTTGTCAGCTCTGGGATACAAATGCAAGATGTCAGCTTTTTGATAATAATTTTGTCACACTGGAAAATCAATACACAATATTTTTAGGTTACCATAATGACAGCACATTTGTTTGTATGTCACAATGCTTGGATTTGCAAGGCCTTCAGTAAATGGAGACCTACTCATCTGTTCATATTAATGAAGGATAATGCAGAGCATGTACAGATTAAAATTTTTAAAGCTGCACAATCAATTAATGATTTGATGAGCCTTCTGTGATCAACTGAAGTTACTGCAAGTTCTTCAGTTAATAATTCAAGTTGAGTCGAATTAAAAGTTTTGCCCCAGTATTGGAAAAAAATCAAGCCTGACAGTGTCAGGATCCTGAAAATGTAACTTCAATAAAAAAGTATATGGTCAGAATAAATATTGTGCGTACGAAATTTACATACATTTTGTTTTATTTCACTTTGCTTTTGGTGATAATGCGAAACGCATCTGAAATGATGCCTACAATAGTGAACATGAATACAGTTGGGTTATAAGCGATTATTAATTTAGGCATTCATTAACAGGGGATTGGAAAATAGTTTTATGCATGACAAATGCTTGCCTATTCTATCATGAGAAAAGAAGATTTGCTGATAATAAAATCGTAAAAAGTAAATTCAATATTATTTCACTATCATAACATACCGGTATTGTTAAAAAAATATATTGTTATTATTAGCATTAATTAGAGTATTGTACGTGACTGACCTTGCCACAGCCAGGTGGGCCCCAGATAATGCAGTTGGAGAACTGAGCAGACTCTATTTCCTTGCGCACTTTTGAGCTTGGCAGAGATATGGACGGCTGACCAACAATCTCACAACACTGCTGTGGCCCAACAAGTTCACTCAAGCTGCTATCTATTGACCAAGAAAATGTTGACAGCAACAGGAACAACTTACCATTGAAAAACCTTACATAATTTTCTTCACATAAGAAAATTACTTTTAATATCATAGAATTTGAAACAAAACCACTACTGTATCTCAAGAGAAGATTAGTAACTTTGCAAATTGCATGAGCATGTAAAAACAGAATACATTAAAGATTAGAGCCCTGCTAAAATATCATTGCCAAACATATCAAAAGAACTAATTATTATACAAACAAACTTTTCTTCTGATGCCTCCACTGTTCTTCATCAGAGTCATGTTTGCTGGATCCTTGACGTGGGTGAGAAACAAATTCTTTGGAGTTGTCTTTGGTAAAATTAGAGGATGATAAATTTGCTCCAGAAGCAGATCTATTTCTTTGATCAGGGATAAATTTTGCAGACACCCCCGGTTTTATAGAGGGACGAACATAAGTGGGTTTTGATGATGAACTGAAATAGAAAGATGTACTGCAAATAATTGTTTTTGGGTAGACACTGTATGCCTAAAAGTTATTGCACTCAAATGAACATTGCAGCAGCATTAAGAACTAATAGGGTAAATGATTTAATATATTTTTCATCAGTTGGTTTGAGTATTAGCAGAAAGAGGAAGGGTGATGTAAATACAAACATCCTATAATGTGGTGGATGGATGAAACAAGATTGCCACCCAATAATTCAGTAATCAATAGTTAAGAGCTTCATACCTCTTTCTCCTGCTGGGACCAATATTTCTACAGGACTTGGCAGGAGGCAACCTCCATGGCTTCCAGCCAGGACCAACACCAGAATTTTGAGCTTGTGTCAGAGAAACTTTGTTGGAAGAAGGGCCAGCCCAAGATGGAGCTTCATTTGAGATCAAACTCCCAGGATGGCTCACACCGACACACTGTAACAGGGATTTATTACTGAAGAACTATTTTTTTGTCCCAGCAATTGTTCTCTCTTCTGTGACAGTAACAATAGGCTCTCAACCAGTCAGTGCCAGATCCATGTTAAGGTAGGTACCTAGTTTATTTGAAAGATTGTGATGGATTCAGCTGCAGGATTTTCATAACTCTAGTATCTGTCTTGATCATTTTATGTAGAATACATGAGAAACTAGTTGCATTTTTTCTAGTTTTCTATAGCCTGGCAAATCAAATGAACTATTATATATCCAACTGCTTAAAGATAATTCAAACTTATTATTAGTGGAAAATGTACCATTAAAAATTGAAAAGGAAGCAAGATAAATTTTACTAAAAGATATCTATTATTTTCAAAAAAAAAATAAAAGAAAAACTATAAAATAACTTACTCTATTGTCTGGAGTATCTTTAGGTGGATAATAAGATACTGTGGACTTGGTTGGATAGCCATAGTTGTGTCTTTTGCGAGGATAAGAAGATGTCATAACCTCTTTATAGTCCAAGATTTCAGCTGCATTCCTCTTGCTGTTCAGTGATGAAGATTCAAAACTGTAAGGAAAAATAATAGTTCAAATCATAAAGGAAATAAGTTCTAATAAAACCTGAATAGGTAGAGAATGATTGTCATTTTGATCTTCAAACAGTGAGAGGCGTTTGAACATATCACTGACACATGAATTGCCAACAAAGAAATCACCAACACTCGAGTTGTTACCATAACAGAAAGAAGGGACATTATTTATAGTTGCTGTCTCTACAAGGTGGTAAGAAATATTTTAGGCTCCATTTGTACACAAAGATTATATGCTACTTAGAACCATTATAATATAATTATTTTAAGTAAAAGGAGCTCAGGAAACAGAAGAATAATGACAGAATATGAGCAAATTTGGCATGATGTTTGTTCTCTACTTGAATTACCGAACTAAAATTTGCAGAGGTGTGGTGAATAGAAATTTAACCAATATTACAAAGTCACTCAATTTTATCAAATTTTAAATCTTGCAGTTTGTCTACAATTGTTATGACATTCAACAAATGAGAATGTTAAAAATTTGAAAATCCCAATAGCTTCAACAATTTGGAAGAACATATTTTCAAAATCCAAATAGAAATTATGTTTCTTGAGAACAAGGAAGTCCTTATGTTTCTAGTATCATTTAGAGAACTTTGAACTGTATGTATACAGCACTTTAGCACCGATTTATATATTTCGGACTATTTTATCAACTAGAATTATTCAACTCACCTTGGAGTAGGGCAATTATCAGATTGGAATCCAAAAGAATTGACAGACTTATGATCAAATTTAGGACACTTGATATCCATTTTTGACTGTGGTTGAGAAGCTATAGAATTGAAAAAGCTTCCTTTTTCTTTAGGGTAAATAAATTAGCTAACAGTCTTTGTCAATTGGACTGACACAGAATCAAATCTTAAACATATATGCACCTTTTCATTACTGTAAGAGTCCTTGGTTCTTGCATCACTTGTCTTGTAACAAGATTGGGAACATTAAAATTTGTACTGATGTCTCACAGCTCCAAAGTTTAAAATATTGGAAAACATACAACTTCATAAGCAGAATATATGTCTTTATAGTTTAGGGTTGAGTGTGAGTATACTTAATTAAATTGTGTTCAGATGTGCGATAAAATGCTAGGATGCTAAAGGATCCAAATAGAGACTTCCTTCTTTTTCTTAGCTGCAAGATTTGCAATGAATGAATTATTGCCTATCCAATCCTGTAATCAAACATATATTTATCAAAGTTTGTGTAATTGGAACATGGCACTGCAAATCAACTATATATACCTACCTATCAATTTTTGTAGTTGGATTTAACTTGTACGTTATATTGATACCTGACAATTCAACTTATTCTTAGAAGGAAAATAATAAGGCCTTGCCAAACACAAGGAAGGATCTGATCAAAGCTGATATTCATTTTAAATTTTTTTGCAAATTTATTTATTAGAAACATGCAAAAATGTTTTCTCATATTTTTAAGAGAAGATTCAAGTGGTTGGTAATTGTTCTATGTTCCATGTAAAATGTGGGCTCTGAATATATCTTTTTTTATTAGCATAAACTAGATACAAAATTATTAATATAATTTTGGACTTTTGAGTCAGACTATCAAATTGCAAAAACATTTATCCCAGCCCAACATCATTTAAGGGGAGCATCTACCCTAAATGTTATCTCGATAATTTACAGAGGGATCAATTTGAAATTTGGTACACATGTGTAAACCCTAAAAAACTCAGGTTTTATTCATGTCAATTTTTCGAAAAAATTGAAAGAAAACATGGAATTCTTAGAAAACGGCCAAAAAGGGGTACTTTAGAAAACCTATCTCCTAGGATTTACAAGCTACAACATCAAGACACGTATCATTCAATGCGTAAATACCATATCTACAAACTGGTTGTAGGGATTTTTTGAATTTCTCAGTTTTGTGGGTGCTAATTAAAACTAATAAAATTTTGTCGAAAATTTTTTGAAATTTTCGATTTTACCTCCACTTTCTCCTCTTTTTGCAAAATAAAATCCGAACTGTAACGAACTTGCAAAAAACCCACAACCAGTTTTTAGATCTTTTCTTTGCAAATCGAATGGTATATGTCTCATTGATATAGCTTCAAAACTCTAGGAGGAGATAGGTTTGCCTTGCAAATTGAATGGTATATGTCTCATTGATATAGCTTCAAAACTCTTGGAGGAGATAGGTTTGCCATGAGAGAGGTTATCGTGTTTTCAAACTTTTCAGTAGAGGCAAAAAATCATGGCGCGCTATGTAAAGGCATGTAACGTAGCTTAGATACCAGAAGTACCGTAAGCACTATCTCACTTCATAGTCAGTCAGCAGTGCATAGGACAACTACATCAACACCTTTCCACATGATGGCTGAGTGATAACTGAGCTGCAGGTCCAGTGATAGCCATTTATATGGCTTGGCCGTAATTATCCCCATAGACTTTTGTGAAGGGACCCCATCACCCTCCCCCCTTTCGGGATCTGTCCTGAATGCATAAATCAATGTACAGAGATGGTTCTAGTGCCGTTCGATGCGGCAGAAAGTAAGCTTTAAGATGAGCTTAAAAACCAGAAAAGCCAAAAATTTCAATTTTTAGGGTAGATGCTCCCCTTAAAAGTTTATATAGGCAATGGGCCTAACTTGCTAGTTGTTAATAAAACTGTATGATTAAGCAGCAAGATTACAAAATCATCAATACAAATTACAAAATATGTCAAGTACCCAGCCCTAATACTTCAGGAAAAGTGGAAATTTCAAATCTTGTGGTTAGGTACAGGCATTGAATAATTCTAATCTACCTTTCAAGCTGCAACTAGAGCTTTCCTGCAATTTTTGGGAAAGCAACATTCCTGCTAAACAAATAATCTGTCTAATTGTTAATAAAAGTGCTTCATTGGGCTGCAAGATTTGCAATGTATTAAAAATTAGGGACTTTGGGGTGGCATATATTTATTATATATTTCAGGAATCAGAAGAAAAATTTCAACCCTGGGAAGGTAGTTTCCTAGGTATAGAGAGATTTTCTTACTGCTGGTAGCTTGGTACTAGCAGTAGCATGATGGAATGATTTGAAGTTTGTTTTTTGTTTAGAATGAGAACTTATTAAGGGGACCGCCCTAGCATACGAAAACTTCCACAGTTATTATCCGATTGTCATGAAACTTCACATACATACCGTCAACCGGGGCAACTCGGGACTGGCAGGGCAACTCGGGACGCACCTCCGACACGGCATAAAACTGTTATAGTAGCAAAACTAATTGGAATATTGCAAAACTAAATATAGTGGCATAAACGTCAACATTTTTCCTATCTATGTAGTATAAAGGCAGTTGAAAAATACGACATTTACTAGCTTTGAAAAATTCCTGAAAAAAATGGTGAAAAACGCTGTTTTGAAAAGTTACTTCTGCTAAGGTCTGTAGCAAAAAAAATATTTGTCGTATTGAAAAATTTTACTTACATAAAAGTTGCACCCAGGTGTCGGCTTGAAAACGTAATTGGCAGATTTTGCCTATCTCATTCCAAAAAAAATGGCGGCCATTTCCGCACGGCGGGGCTACTCGGGCCACCCCCCCGGGGC